AGTTTGGTGGGGGGTAACTGAGAATGAATGGGGTAAAGTCACATGAGAGGAGGCAGTGCCTCCATCGCCATATGATTGGATATGACTGTTTCTGATCGGCTATGATTGGTTCATGCGATAAAAACCCACCTCTTGTGTTTGTGCGCGTTCGTGAATCAGTCTGAATGAGCAATATAATGATGTAACAAGATAACATGCTCTGTGGGTTTTTTAGTGATCAATCAGCTTGTTAAATTTAGAGGTACAACCCTGCGTCTGTGACCAGTGTTTACCGAGCTCTGATGACTGTTGATCTGGAACAGCTGAACATCAGTTCATAAATAAAATACATAACTGTTTATTGGTAATGTAAAAATACAAAATTGATTTTTATTCTGGTAGTGTAAGTTCTGGTAAGTGTAAAAAAAAAAAAAAAAAAAAAAAAAATTGAGGACTTCGCCTTATTTCAGGACACCACTGATTGTGACACATATCTGAGTGAAACAGTTTCTCAGACTGTTTCTGAAACAGGGAGGGGAGTTTATTTTGGTTAAAGATTATGAGGGCACATTAATTTTATGAAAATAATGGCGTGCATGGATTAATCATTTATAATAAACTCTGCAATATCCCATAAATCAATAAGAATTGTCAGTTTTGATTTCATGGTGGCTTTAAAGCACTGAAATGTTCATGCTGCAAGATTCAGTAGCGTTACCTCCAAGCATGCATACATTAAAAGGCTTCTGACCCATAATAGGTGCTCTAATGGATCTAAATGCATCACTTTTGCACCATAATAAAATGTCTTAGAGCTCTGAATGAAGCGTAGACAAGTGTGGGTGTGAGTATGTATGTGTTTGACAAGGTGTGCAAACACTCAGTGGTCACCATTATAATTTAATAGGAGAATGTATTCCGAGCCGGATCAAACTGCTTAGCATGCAAGATGTGCAACACACCCAATTTGTTTCAAATGGTTAATGAGTTTCCATTGTGCTCAAGTGTTTGCTTTCATTCATAATCCTATTAATCGCATTTGATGCATTTGTATTTTCTGGGCTGGCTGCTTTCAGATTTGAGTCTATATCTGTCTGGCAGGTTTCTCAAAGCCTTTCATTTGTGTGGTAATGTTGTGCAGGGGAACAGCGTCACACCTTCTGCTGGACTAGTCAATGCATTCTATCTCCCACTCATCTGCTACCTTCCTTTCTTGATGTTTTATGTGACTTTTTTCACACAGGATGTTGAATCTTAAAATCATTTTTAATCCCAGTGAGCATTCTAAACATGTTTGTTGATTTTTTTTTTTTTACCACAATGCCCTATTTTAAACATTTCATTTCATATCCTTCTTATGAATTTCTATATCTTCACCTTTAAGATTGTAATAATATATTTGTCTTCTTCTTTTTAATAATAACATTAATTTATGTAATTTATATAATAATAATAATAAACTTTATATAAATAACAATTTCCCAACAAATACTTTGTATTTATTTATTGACATTTATTTATTGACTTACTTACTTACTTACTTATTTATTTACCCATTTTACTTTGTTAATGCAAAAGTTGTTTTAGATTACAAAAGCAAGCTTACAACCCCCCCCCCCCTCTCTAGGAGTAACATTAACTAATCATTAACAATAAGACTAGGACTAAGCAAATAGTAAATAGAGCCGGTTTAGTTGTGAAGGTATTGTAAGATCTTCACAATCATCTCGTTTTATGTGTGAATAACTATGGGGAAAATAAACGAATCAATTAACAACATTAGGGCATTTCCTAAAAAATATTTACTTAATTTATCCTCGGTTTAAGGAGTTCTTTAGTAATAGATAAATGCATGATTCAAATACTCTATCCATCTCTTAGGGAAACCCGATGTATTCAATGGTGCTTCCATAAATATCTGAGGCAAGTAAAAAAAAAAAAAGGTCACTCTTTTTTGAAGTACAATGTAGGAGGATTCTTCAATCTTTCATACTGCTGGATGCAGCAGGTGAACATGAGGATACACAGCAGGATGAAAGAGGCGGATATGAGCATCCTTAAACAGTGGCACTGGTTTGGGTCTCTGGCTTAGCTGTGTGGATAAGAGTGTATTTTTGGTATGGTTTAATACTGTATGTGCCCTGCTGCATTGCAGCTGTAACAGGCTTATACTCAAAGTTTTGTGGGTAATGCAATGGCCCCAGAAATAGTGTTGTTTCAGGCCCACCTGCCATATATATCTGAAGGTGAATGTCCCTCTTAGCCAGGGGGAAAAGGTTTGGAAGGTGAACGTCATTCTGACTAATTGCTCACTGCGGTGGGATTACACAGGCTGCCAAGAATTATGGGAACACAGTGGGAAAAAAGAAAGCTGCTTGAATAGCAACCCAGCAACATGCCAAGTAATGTTTTTCTTTTTCTTTTTCTTTTTCTTTTTTCACACCAAGGGCCGTGCTCTGCCAATTCCTGTTGCTTTTTTTTGGGGGGGGATCAGACACATTGCCATTTTTTTCAAGGCCACATTAGTGATCATTAGCAACTGAAATGGTAGCATTTATTGTTGGATAAGTGGCCTGAAAATAGCTGTGCTTCTCAGTTTCAGGTGATGGTCACATCCAGCTTTCTGTACATCCCTAGTTGAAGCTTTCTGCTGTTTTGTATGCATATTGTTCTGTGGTTTGTGTCGCTGTAATTACATGAGCATAGCATATGTGTTACTAATGAAGTATGTGTCAGCAGATTTCACACACTGAAAGCTGACATGAACGGAAGCTATCCTTCATGATGCATCTCTGTAAACATATGGGTCAATTACATACAAGAGTGTCCATGCTAAAGAAAAGGAAAAATCTAGTTTGAACATGTTCTTAGACAGGTTTTGAAAATGTTTTTAGATCATTTACATTTTTTGGGGTTTCAAATTTCTCTTGGTTTTTAATGTCTCTAAAATGACGTGATTTAACCAATGAGTAAAAAGTAATTATTATTTGGACAAAATTTGACTGAGATATTTGAAAATCCGCCTTCAAATTTGTCGAAATTAAGTTCCTAGCGATGCATATTACTAATCAAAAATGAAGTGTTGATATATTTACGGTAGGAAATTTACAAAATATCTTCATGGAACATGATCTTTATTTAATATACTAATGATTTTTGGCATGAAAGAAAAATTGATCATTTTGACCCATACAATATATTGTTGGCTATTGTTACAAATATACCCATGCTACTTACACGTCACATACTGTATTTCCATTACATTTTGAATAAATGTATAGTGTACACAATCATTATTTAAAAAATTAATGAGTAAATAAATAAAAAATGTAAAAGTTGTTTCTGATTACAAAAGCAAGCTTTTTTTTCTAAACAACATGCACCAATTCACAATACGACCATGACTAGACAGTAAAGAGTGCATTTAGTTGTGAAGGTCTTGTAGCATCTTTACAGCCATCTTGGTTTATGTGTGAATAATTATGTTGAATAGTTTTGGGGGAGGTGCTCCACATGACATTTTAAAATCTGGTATAACCTTGCTTTGTCGTAAAAAAGGTGCAGGGGTCCTCTCTATTATCGTTTTTTTTCCTGCATGTTTGCACCACATGATTTTATTGGTGTGAAAAATGTTATAACATTGTACCCGCGTTTGGGATTATTGGCAAGTGAAGATAGAATAAGAAGTCAGACATATAGAAAAGTCAACAGACCAAGGGCTGTAACTTATTTTGCTAGTGCGTAAATAAATAAATAAGTAATATGAGGTCTTTGAAGGATCAGCATAATAGCTGTAGACTGCGTATTTCCTTATGCAGATTCTAAATACTTGTTTGGATATTTATATTCGGCATCACAGAAAATTCTTACCTTGAGGCAGTAAAAGCAATATTCTGTTACAGAATCTTTTATTGCATAACTAATATGAATGTGCTGGGATTAAGCCATGTTTATTAGGAGGTATCCTTTCACTCCTGTGATGCATGTGTATTTCAAATGAAACTCAATTTGGTTCTGGTTGGGAGCCACAGGCTTTAGCCTCATAATGTCGTAGTGTAGTGTATAATTTCACTGTCTACCATGCTCTTTTTACCCATGAGTTAAAAAATTTGTCATGAAAGATTTATATTCCAATGGAGAAAAAAAGGAGTAATATCACGGGTATACATTTAGACCTCTTTTAGTATGTGGAAATTGTGGGTGAACGACAGTCATTTCCTCTAAAACAAAATAGTTCGTTCGAGCACATGGGGTATCCTTGTGCTCGTTTGGTACATGTAATGTGAGTTCTATTTAAAGAGCATGCTAATTACAAATCAAGAGCATTCTTTGACAGGAGCTGGGACATTCCACAGTAGAGCTGCACGATTCTGGATACATTGAGAATCACGGTTTTTTTGTCTCAAATAGAGATCACGATTCTAAACTAAACAAAATAATGTGTGGCAAAATAATATTGCTGCAGTCTATTTAAAAGTGCTTAATTCATTTGAATGAATGATTAAACATTTTAATATACACTACCAGTCAAAAGATTTTGAACGGTAAGATTTTTAATGTTTTTTAAAGAATTATCTTCTGCTCACCAAGCCTGCATTTATTTGAT